GCCCAAGTAATAAAGCACAGCAGTCTTCTAGATAAGGGAGACAAAGAAGCATTCTTAAAGGCAAACATCTAAAGAGATGAAATATAGCCGGTGGCTCACGCCTGTAATCCTAGCTACTCAGGAGGCAGAGATCAGGAGGATCACGATTTGAAGCCAGCCTGGGAAAATAGTTCCTCGAGACCCTATCTTGAAAAAACCCTTAACAAAAAATAGGGCTGGTGGAGTGGCTCAAGTTGTAGGCCCTGAGTTCAAACTCCAGTACCACAAAAATAAATTAATTAATTAATTAAAATAAAATAAAATATAGACCCCCTGAAGAAAAGTAACACAGCAAACTTTCCCGAGATAAACAAAAAGGGGGTTCTTGCCAGAATAATCAGTGGTAGTTACAGAAGGTACAAATGACAGGTTTCAAGGACAGGATGGACTAACAAGACCCTCTCGGAACGTCCAGTCCAATGAGGATGAGGGGCAGCCAGATAGTCAGGTTCAGCAAGAAGTAAATTAAATAGCTAATTACAGAAACAGCTTCAAAGTAAAGTGGTGGGGTGCCTAAGTGAGGCCCCTATACTATCTCATGACTCCAGCTATTCTACAACTCAGCTCTTTCACTAAGTCCCTCCCATCGTGCTTTGCTATCCTTTCAATAAACTTTGTGCTTGCTTTAACTCTTAACTTCTGGTCCAGCGTCTTTAGTCATCGACTATGCAGGACACGAACTCGGGCAACAATATTCCAGTATCATAGTGACAAGACCAAAGGTTGTTCTTCAGAAATTGGTAAACTCCTTGCCAACCTGAACAAAGAACAACTGAGAAACACAGGTACACAACATCAGAAATTAGGAAGGTGAGAGTAACAGAATCCTGAGAGAATTCCATATACGACCTCACCCCTGAAAATTTTAAATCTCTCTCAGAAAATACACAATTTTCAACGTTAACAGACTGTTAAATGTTAAAATCTGTAGGGGAACTGCTCTACCATGGCCCTGGTCGCCTCTCACTGTCACCATAGGCCACACAGGCGAAGTTCCTGGCCTACAGCTGATCTTAGGCTTGTGGTGCTTCTGAAGCATGATGATGGGGGGCTTGTGAGGAACACACCTGGCTCCAGGTCTGACAAGGTCTGACCTCAGGCAACAGAGCCTTTAACTGCAGTCTAGAATTGGCTCAGTGACCCAGCTCCTTTGTCTTCATGGCATTTTGCAGAGTGGGACAAGGAGCATGGGGACAGGTATTTTGGACAGCTCTTCCTTTTACTGTTTATGTAAGTAATAAACCATCCACAGCTAAAGAGGGTTAGTCAGGGTGAGTTCAGTGGTAGGGTGATTGCCCGGCATGCATGAGACTGTGGGTTCAACCCCCAGCATCACAAATAAATAAAACACAGTAAAATCCCAACTCCTGTCAAAAGACAACAATAAGTAAATAAATAAACAGGGATTGTTGTGGGTTTTGTGGCTAAATCTGTCAGACCTTGGTCTTGCCTGCTATGTGGTTAACATAAGCACAGCTCATCTGCCTTACCTTGGCTAGGGGACTTAAAAGACTGAAGGTGCCATGTAACAGAGAGGGCATGGGTAAGTAATGTTCATTGGAGGCATCTATAGCTGACACTTTTTTTTTGATACTGGGGATTGAAGGCAGGGCCTCACACACGCTGGGCAAGGACTCTACCACTTGAGCCGACCCCCCAGCCCTACAGTGGACCCTTGAAAGAGAATTAGAGGCCTGGAACCCACCCTTGAAAATTCGTGCATATGTGTTTTTTGCTTTGGGGTATTTTTGGGGGGGGATGGGTGGGTACTGGGGTTTGAACCCAGGGCCTTGCACTTGCTAGGCAAATGTGTACCACTTGGGTCACACCCCTGATCCCTCCTCCTCCCAGAATAACTTTGGACTCTCCAAAAACTACTTGTAGCCTGCTGTTAACTGAAAGCTTTACCAACAACATGAACAGTCAACTAATACACATTTTGCACACTGTACATCTTAAATATGGTGAGAAATACGCAAGACCCTTGAGCCTTTTTCCTTTTCTGTACCAGGGACTGGATCCAGGGCCTTCTTTGAGCTAGGCAAGAGCTCTATGACTCAGCCACATCCCCAGCCCTTAACTTCTTAATGTCTTTGACGTTTCTAGGCTACACAGTTTGCCAGCAAGGGTTTTCAAATTATTTAAAATCATGGCTGGGGATGCAGCCATAATTCTCGGGAACTACTTGCCTGGGATGGCTTCAAACCACAATCCTCCTGATCTCTGCCTCCTGAGTAGGCAGGATTACAGGCGTGAGCCACCAGTGCCCCGCTATTTTTTCGTTGTTGCAGTGCTGTGGATTGAACCCCAGGCCTGGTGTATACTTAGCGAGTGCTCTACTACTCGAGCTATGCCCCGCCCCACCCAGTGATGTTTTGATATGCGTACAAATTGTGTGATATTTAAATCCAGGCAACATATCTATCTTTTCAAATACTTACCATTTCTTCATGGTGAAAACATTCAAAAATCCTTCTGGATTTTGAAACATACAGTACATCATTATCTATTGTCAACTATCATCATCTATAGTCAAATATTTCTGAGTTAGTTAAAAAACTTTACCATTAATATATGTAAATTTTTTATTTAAAAATACATAAAATCGGGACTATAATAAACCCATGAAGATTTAAAATATTAGGGCTGGGGGTGTAGATTAGTGGTAGAGTGCTTGCCTAGCATGTGTGAGATCCTGGGTTTGAGCTCTAGCACCATAAAAAAATAAAAATAAAACATTTAAAATATATTGCCAAAAAAAATAAAATAAATTGCCAGGGGCTGGTGGAGTGGCTCAAGTCGTAAGAGTGCCTGCGTAGCAATCGTGAGGCCCTGAGTTCAAACCCCAGTACCAAGAGAGAAGAGAAATATGTTGCTAGTCTGGAAGCGTGGATCAAGCAGTAGAGAACCTGCCTAGCAAGCACAGAGCCCTGAGTTCAAACCCTAGTACTACCAAAAAAAAAAAAAAATCTACCTTTTTCATCTCAAGTTTTATAAATGTACAATAGTCTTCTCTTGCCAGCTGTCCTATTCGGATTTCCCACATTCTGGATTTGTCTGTTTGCTTTTTTTCTTTCCTCTTTGTAAACTGGAAATCAGATCTAAAGGCCTGAGTAGATTTAAGGTCGATTTTGGGAACAGGAGGCATATAGTCTAGTTGTTCTATTGTCAGTCATGCAAACAGCCATCAGTGTGTTTCCAGAGTGGAGTTGGGTTTTCACTAACTCTGTGAACATACAATGCCTCCCTAATGGCTTGGTTCCCTGGATCTCCCCTGCCCCTCTTTCCCTCCCTCCTCTTCCTTTCTTGGGGATCAACCTGTCACCTGGTACATGAGCTCTACCATTGAACTACACTCCCAGGAGTCTTTTTCATGCACATTGTGATTTTCTAACTTTTCTTCTACACTTATTTGCTAGAATTCATTTATAAAAATGAGCTTTCCCCATCAACTAATTTTTTTTTTCAATACTGAGGCTTGAACTCAGGGCCTACACATTGAGCCACTCCACTAGCTCTTTTTTGTGATTGGTTTTTTCAAGATAGGGTCTTGCAAACTATTTCCCCCAGCTGGTTTCAAACTGCGATCCTGATCTCTGCCTTCTGCATAGCTAGGATTACAGATGTGAGGCGCTGGTGCCTGGCAACTAATTATTACGTGTTTAAATTTTTAGTTCTTAAAAAAAACTATCCATGTATCCAGGAGGGCCTAGTGGTAAACGCCTGTAATCCCAGCACTCAGGACAATAAGGCAGAAGATCACAGTTCCATGACAGCATGGGTTACATAGTAAGCTCAAGGCCAGCCTGGGCTTCATAGTGAGAAAAGAAAAAGAAAAGAAAAAAATACAGAAAGACACATATACACACACACATATATACATATATATTATATGCTATATAATTGTTGGAATCATGTATCTGCTTTATAGAATGAGGGTCCCTGGACCACAGAGCTGATGATCTCTGATGCTCTGTATTTCTATCCCTAATGACTAGTGATCGTAGGTAGGACACATTTAATAAACTAAATAAATAACAAATAACTGAGCCAACTCAAAGATCTAGGGAAGGGATTCTCTCCAAAAGGGTCTGCTGGATCATAGCTTATTCCTCTTTTATTTTATTTTATTTTTTTTTGGTACTGGGGTTTGAACTCAGACCTGGGCACGCATACTTTAAGCCACACCCCTGCCTTTTTTTTTTTTTTTTTTTTGCTTTTAGTTATTTTTTGCTTTTAGTTATTTTCTGGCTAGGGTCTCACCTTTTTGACTGATGCAGCCTCAGAACAGATTCTCCTACCCTCCCAAATAACTGGGATTACAGGCATGAGCCACGATGCCCAACTCGGGTATTTTGAATTCTAAAAAAAAGCAACACATAGAAAAACAAAGTAATGTAAATTGGGAAATAAATGCTTTTTAGCCTAATAAACTACCTCATCTTTAAACACTACTCATCGAAATAAAAGTCCTAGGAGCTACATTTGATACACACACGCGCTAAACCATCAGTATCACATATGACTCCTAGGCATGGGTTCCACTCTGGTCTCAGCATCAGGCAGGGTGCTTTTCCTAGAAAGCCCGGGGGATTTCCCCCCCTCCGGGACTTAGGAGCGCGAGCGTCCTTCCGGGAGAGGCACAGCCCCAGGCTCCCCAAGCTGCCTCCCTCCCCCACCGTCCCCAGAGCCCGCGTGCCGCGGCAGCCCCTCCCACTCAGCTCTAGTGACCCCTTCCGCCCCTCCCCCAGGCGGCATTCTTCCGCCCCGAGGCCCCTCGACCTGCCCACCCGCTTCCCGTAGGCTCCGCAGGGCCCTGGCGCACCCGCATTTATGTGATTGGTTGAGGGGCGTGTCACTCTGGGCCTCCGCGCTCACCATTGGCTGGTTTTCCTCACGGTGGCGTCACGCCGCCGAAGTGGCTAAGGGCAGAGCGCCGAGCGCGAGGAGCCGCCGGGAGGTTGCGGGCTGTTTTTCTCGGCGGTTTGCGGAGGTCCTACGATGGCGGCAGCGGTCCCTGGTGTGGAGGCAGCAGGTGTGACCGCAGGACCTGTGTCAGGTGCGTACGGCACTGGTGAAGCTCCTGAAGCCGAAGGAGGAGTTGGAGCGGCCGGCGGAGAGATGGACGCAGCCATGAGAGGAGCGGAGGCTGTTGGGGACAGCGAGGAGGACGGGGAGGATGTGTTCGAGGTGGAGAAGATCCTGGACATGAAGACCGAGGGGGTACGGAAGGGGCCGGGGAGGCTGGCGCGGTCCGAGCCGAATGCCGCCGCCGCTAGCCGGGCGCGAGCCGCGACCCCCGCGGCGCCGGGGGCTGGGGGAGCTTCGGGCTTGTGACGTGTTGGCGTGCACGTGGAGCCCCCGTGCCAGAGAGAAGGGTCGTGAGCTGTGGGTGCGTCCTCGCGTACTCTTCCACGCCATCTTCCCAACCCCCTGGCCGCGAGTCAGTCATTTCTGTGTGTTCCAAGAATGGGATGTTAATGGCCGTCAAAACCTAGTGAGAGCCGGGCACGGTGCTCACGTCTGTAGACCCAGACACTTGGGAGGCATGTCGATCGGGAGGATTGAGGTTCGAAGCTACCCTGGGCAAATAGTTTGAAAGACCCCCCCCCATCTCCCAGATAACCAGAGCAAAATGGATTGTAGGTGTGGTTCAAGCGGTAGAGCTAGTTCAAAGCTCTGAGTTCAAACGTCAGTCCCATTAAGAAAAAAAACTTAAAACCACAAAAACCTAATGATTCTCATTCCTCTCTCCCCTGCGCATTGTATGATCGTAACCAAACAGTAAACTTGAAAATTGCTTCATACTGTGTCTGGGCGCCTGAGGTTCTCCTAGCCTGGCAGAGTCTTGCAAAACTTGGGGTCTACTTGTCGGTGAAAGCCTTTTTTTTTGACCCCGATCCCTGCAGAGAGAGGTGCTTTCTCTTCTGTACTCCTGTAAAGAGGTGGAAACCTTTTTTAACTTAAGGCATTGTCGTTCTTCATACATTCTTTCCTGCTCTAGATTGTGGGCTTCTGTAATGGGGGTGGGAGGGATGTGATTTTTGTGAAGCTTTGCATCTCTGGTACTTAGTCCAGTCTAGCGTGCAGTGTCTGCTTTTGTGTGGATCCGATTAGTAAATGGGTAAGTGACTCGTGGGCTTGGGACTGAAGCAAGGGGGATGGTCGAACAGCAGGAAAACAGCCTGTCTTAGTAGATTAGTAGATGAACAGAGGCCCCACATACTGATTTGGCTTTATTGTATTCATCTTATTTTTTATTATTTCCCACTTTTCATACTCTGCTTAATGTTTTGTCTAACCATTCGACAAACTTTTTTTTAAAAAAAATCAACTGCTGTGAGGTCCTGGTGGTAGAGATTTAATTTGTGGGTGGGGGGAGGGGTACTGGGTTTGAACTCAGGACCTTGTGCTTGCTAGGCAGGTGCCCTACCACTTAAATTATGAGCTCAGCCCTCCCCCTCTTTTTTTCTGTACTGTGGTTTTAAACTCAGGGCCTACCTACTCCTTGAGCCATTCCACCAGCCCTTTTTGTGAGGTCTCCCTAACTAATTGCCTGGTCTGGCTTCCAACCGTGATCGTCCTGATCTCTGCCCCCTGAGTAGCTAGGATTACAGGGTGAGCCATCGGTGCCTGGCTTTATTCATGTAATTTTTTTGAGACAGAGTCTTGCTTTGTCCCAGGCTCACCTCCAACTCTGGATTCTCCTTCCTCAACCTCCTGAGCAGGTATTACAGGCTTGTACCACTTCACTGGACTTGAGGATATTGTCTTTATAATCAAGATAGTTCACCTATTCATTCATATGATATTTAATTTTGTTGCTGTCAAAGAATGGTAGGCACTATACTTAAAGCCTCGTGTTTTAGTCTAAAGTGGATGAAACTAAGAAACTGAAAGGTGTGATGGAAAGTTGAGTTAAAATTCTAGTTGTGAAGCTGGGCGTGATGGTCACATCTGTAATCCACATTTGAGAAGCTGAGGAAGGAGAATCAAAAGTCCAAAAGAATACATAACGAGTAGTGAGTTTGAGGCCTGCCTGAGCTACACAGTGAGACACTGTCTTAAATTAAAAAACAAACAAACAAAAAAAAAAAACCGCAAGTTGTCAAGACCTTGGAGTTTCAGGTGCTCTTCTGAATGACTGATGCATAAGATGAGAGATTTTAGGTCTGTAGAGCAGGACTGGGGTAGTTTTTAATCCATTAACTGCTGAGTGAACAAGCCAGTTGCCAAGTTTATAGTCCTGATAATAGTTCAGTAGGCCTCCTTATAGTCTAGATGTTTAAAACTTCAGCAAGAACACTTAGTACCTTTTTTTTGGTTGTGGTGGTACTGGGAGTTGAACTCAGGGCCTTGTGCTTGCTAGGCAGATGCTCTACCACTTGAGCCACTCTACCAGCCCAAGAACACTTAGAATTGACTCACTTTTTGCTATATTATGTATGCATATATATACAAAAAATTTTATTTAATTTTTCGTTGGACTGGGGTTTGAACTCAGGGCTTTGCTCTTGCAAAGCAGGCACTGTACAGCTTGAGCTGCACCTCATGTCCATTTTGCTCTGGTTATTGGAGATGGGGTCTTTTAAACTATTTGCCCCGGCTGACCTCAAACCGTAATCCTTGATACTCTCCTCCTGAGTAGCAAGGATTATAGGTGTGAGCCACTAGTGCCTGGCTCTGTTTATTTTTTACAGTGCTGGGAATTACATCTAGGGCCTTGCCTATGCAAGACAAGTGCTCTACCACTGAGCTACATCCCAGCCCTATAGGTAGCATTGTTTGTTTGTTAACTGGTATATTTTAATAACTGTTAAAAAAAAAAGTGTGCAAATCTCTGTATATATGCACATAACCCATACATTGCTATTTAAAACTTATTTGGGATACCATAGTAAACAACAAATTCTAGTATAGGAATAGAAAAAGATATCAGTAAGCATTTCAAATTGGATGTCAAGGGTGATTAGTGGTTGGGTAGGCAGAGAAGTTGTAAGGCAGAGAATGGCCTTAGGTCAGAGGGCCCAAACTCTCAGCTAACTGGCTTGCAGACTTGTTTGTTTTGGTTGGCACACACTTTTTTTTTTTTTTTTTAGCTTGAAATTAGTTGCTAACATTTACATTTCTGGAATTTTCACATAAAAAATCTGTATGTGAAGCTGAAAATGGCAGCAGTGGGACCTCACCACACACCACCTACTCTACAGTTTTCACTCTTCCTCATTTTCTTAGTCCCTGCCAGATTTGCTCATTTACCCACCTTCTGCAGAAAGCAGAGGCCCAGGTAAGGTAATGAAGCTCTGGAGGCTTGACCAGACCACATAAAAGGCTCCATGTGGACATTTGATGGTTCACCTTCCTTCCATTCACCATTCTTTTACATGCCTAACTTTTTCTAGTGAGATTTTAAAAATTAACAAAGTGTCTTTAAAAAAAAAAAAATTGTAATCTAACCCAGAAATACCTGGTTGGTTTTTCTCTCAAAAGAACAGTCTGCTAAAATCTTGGTGGTGAGTACTGATTTGATGGGATGGTATTAACACAGAATTTAGTACCCATATTCTCTCTTAGTTTATTGTTATGTGTGCTTTTGTGTTTTCAGAAAAATTAAATATGACAGATGTCATGACATGCCATGCTTTGACTTCAGTTTTGAATCACAGTTACTTTTGCATAATAAAAAACTGGTAACTGTTCTAAAATTTGTAGGCATTTTGTTTGATTAGCTTATGAAGATGTTTTATTGTACAGTGAGTGTATTGCAAAGCCAACAGTTACGTTACCACCAGAAGATACTGGGTTGAAAGCCCCAGAAATCCCTGAGTCTCATGCCTTCCAACCCCCAGAATCCCTGTCCTGAACAATATGATGATTAGTTTCTTGTTTTCCTTTGTCATTTTACTATGTAAGCATGCATTCCTCAGCATAGTTATGCTTTTTTTTTTTTTTTAAGTTTTATAAAGATGAAGTATTTTTTGTTGTTTTTGAGACTTGCCCAGGCTGCTTCAGCCCTCGTGCGGGAGTCACAGGCTTGTACACCACGCCCAGCTCCATTATCCTCCTCTTTAATGGAGGGCCTGCTGTTGAAATCCCCCTTCCTGTGGCCATCCATCCTTTTGCTTGATGTGTTGGAGTCCTTACACATTATCTTTGAAACCTTTGTTAGTAATGGGTTGCAAATCTCTTTTCTTTTTAATTTTATTTCTTTTCTTCTCTTCTTGTCTTCTCTTTTTCTTTTTTGTGTGTGAAGGATCCAGCCCAGGATTACACGTGCTAGGCAAGCATCCACCTTTGCACCACATCTTCAGCCCCATTTGTGCCTTTTTTGTGAACAGAAGTTCACAGGATTATATAGGAAAACTTAATCTTAAGGGTTGGCATTGAGTGCTTCTTGTGACTGATGAAGAAGTCTTTCCCTACACTAGGTATTTCCCACCGTTTTCTTTCCTAAAAAGCTCTGTTTTGCCTTTCGTGTTTTGTGTTCACACTCACCTGCAATTTATATTGTATATAGTGTAACCTGAGGGTCAGATATCTTTTTTTTTGTTATTCTTTAACAGTGCCTTGAAAGTTTTAGAATCAATTCTCACTTTCCTTCCACATATTAAAAAATTTGGGTGCTGGGTGCCTGTGGCTCATGACTGAAACCTTAGCTATTTAGGAAGCAGAGATCAGGAGGATCAGGGTTCAAAGCCAACCTGGGCAAATGGTTCCAGAGACACTGTCTCAAGGAAAAAAAAAAAACAGCACAAAAGGGGCTGGCAGAGTGGCTGAAGTGCCCCTGCCTAGGAAGCATGAGGCCCTGAGTTCAAACCCCAGTACTGCAAAATAAATACATACATTCTTTGAGTTATTTCTGTTAATGCTTTCATTGAATCTGTAGATAAATTTAGAATTGATTTAATTTCTTTCAATAGTCTCATAGCTTTATTTATTTATTTATTTGCAGTACTGGGGCTTGAACTCAGGGCCTACAAACTTGAACCACTCTACCAGCCCAATTTTTTGTGATAGGGTTTTTCAAGACAGGCTCGCTTCAAGCTGCAATCCTCCTGATCTCTGCCTCCTGAGTAGCTAGGATTACAGGTGTGACCACCAGCACCTGGCTCATTTTTTGTTTTTGGTGGGACTGGGGTTTGAATTCAGGACTTTACACTTGCAAAGCCGGCACTCTTGCTGCTTGAACCACACCTCCAGTCCATTTTGCACTGGCTATTTTTGGAGATGAGGATCTCTTGAACTATTTCCCCATACTAGCCTTGAATCTTGATCCTCCCAATAGCTGAGATCACAGGTGCGAGCCACAGGTGGGGCTTTTTTTGTTGTTTTTGTTCTGGAGGAGGTCACACTATGTTGCCCAGGCTGGTCTTGAACTCTTTGACTCAAGTTATCTTGCCTTAGTCCCCCAAGTAGCAGGGACTACAGGCATGCTCCACTGAAAGGTAAAGTTTGCCAGTGTCTTGGCTGCCTCATTTTAATTATCAGGAAAATTGCAAAAATTATATAGAATTTCATATACATTCACCCAGATTCTCTAGTTATTAATAATTTATCAAATTTGCTTTATTTACTTTTTAAATGCTTATATATTTTCTTTTTCTGCCTGATTTGAGAGTAAAAAGCTATTCAATAACTTGCCAACGTCTTAAAGCACATACAAATAAGATCATAAGTTCATATGACCTGCTATTGATAAAATTAGCATATTCTTGCACTCTACTATCATAAAAATTTTTGTTTGTTTTTAGACAGCATCTTGCTGTGTAGCTGATCGTACTCGCCATCTTTGGAGTGCTGGGATTGCTAGCATGTGTTACCACATGCAGCAGCTATAACGCTCTACTGTGTTCTACCGAGACCATGCATACTGCATTCTTTTAGGCAGCACTGTATACTTCTGGTGGTTAGTGTTCTTACCATTTTTTTTTTTTTTACTATTTTACTTTTTAATTGTTTATACATTTATTCATATGTGTATACATTGTTTGGGCCTCCACCTGGTTTTTGTTGTGGTGGTGGTGGTTTTTTGTTTTGTTTTTTCTACATAGGGTCTCACGAACTATTTGCCCAGGCTGGCTTCAAACCACGAGCCTCCTGATCTCTGCCTCTTGAGTAGCTTGGATTTGAAGGCATTAATTTGGATGAAGTACACTTCATTTGTTCCCCTTCCTGCCTTGGGTCTCTTGCAGTTCTATATGTTTAAAAATTGGCTTTTTTAACAAGGCTACAAACAAGGCTGTTGGACTGATGGGGATTTTATTGAATCTGTCATTCATTTTGATACTGTTGAGCTTTTGATCATATGAAGTCTTCCTGTCTAAGAACACAGGTTGTCTTTTCACTTATTTAGATCATCTTTGATTTCTTTTAGCAGTGCTCAATTCAACAGCAATAGACTAAAATTGGAATGATTTCTTTTAGTAGTGTTCATGATTTTTAATTTATCTTATTTTAGTTTACCTTCTTGTGTAAAGCTAGTGCTAAGTATTTTATTCCTTTAGATGCTAGTGTAACTCTATTTTTCCCCCACAGTGCTAGGGATTGAATCCAGGAACCCAGGGCCTCAATGCATGCTAGACAGGTGCTCTACAACTGAGGCACAGTCCCAGAGTCCCCAGTACATACTGGAGAGTTCCTGGAGGGGAGATCACCACGTTTGAGAGAAGCAAGGAAGGTTACACACGAGAATGAGGACACAATTCTACCATGATGTTAGGGAACACTCACCTTAAACTCCAGTTTTGTCCCTCAACCAACAAGGTCTAAAATGTTTGTGAATGTCATTTTCCTTTTAATTTGTTTTCACTCTTCATTATTTGTTTATTTAGACAGGGTCCTGCTGGCCTTGAAATCACAATTCTCCTGCTTTAGCCTTTTAAGTGCTGGGATCATAGATGTGTGCCACCACACTCCACAACAATCTTTAAATGGGTATTATTTTTTTAACCTCATTGACCTCCTGTTGTGGAATTTATTCTAACAACCTAATCACAAATGCATAAGGATATTGTGGCTTCATTTATAAAAACAAAATCCAACAGAAAGACTTGTTCACTGATGTGTTAAGCTCTTAATATTTTCAAAAGCATGATTTTTAATAGCAGAAGAGTATTCCATCATATAAATAAAACAGAAACCCTCCTTCTCTTAAGGATTGTTGGTTTTTGGTTTTTAGATTAATTTTTAATCTTTTTCACTTAATTTTTTTTCTATTTCCTTCATCTTACATTAATTAATACATGTCTGATGCTTTTTAAGATATTAGGAAGATAATAGTGTAACTTTCTATTATAAATTTGTAATAAAAATATTACCTTCATAATATATTAAAACATAACTATTAGTAAATATAATTGAAGGGAATAAATCAAATTGTTATCTTTGGTGACTTTAAATTTATTTTGATGGCACTGGGTTTGACTCAGAGGCTCACACTTGAGCCACTCCGCCAGCCCTGGTGACTTTTATTTTGTTCTTCCTGATTTTCATTGCTTTTACAGTATTAAACATTGCTTAATATAATCAGAAAAAGACCTCAGCCTTTGGTTTATGAAAAATAGATCGATGGTACGGGTTTGTTTGGTTTTTTTAGCCATTTGCTTTAGGAGCTGAATTATAAAGTAGGTTAATACTTCACAATGTGATACTAGTTTCCATTTAGAAGCAGCTTTCAAGTTCTTTCATATGTTCTCAGCAGCTGTATGGTTTTGGAAATTTAGTTGGTAATATGCCTGATTTTAACTTATACCACAGGGTAGGGTCCTCTATAAAGTTCGATGGAAAGGCTATACATCAGATGATGACACCTGGGAGCCCGAAGTTCATCTGGAGGACTGTAAAGAAGTTCTTCTGGAATTCAGGAAGAAAGTTGTAGAGAACAAAGCTAAAGCAGTCAAGAAGGATATTCAGGTACTGTGTTTCACCTCGCCTTTCTATTTTGATTTGTGTATTTAAGTTTATTATAATTTTATTGGAAGACTAAACAATTTATAAAAGATAAAATATACAGTACACTTAGTGTAAATTTCATATAGCTAAATTTATCCTTACAGACTTCTCTCAGTGATTTTTGCTGAGCTCTTTCTGTATCCAACCCAAAATTACAGTTAATAAACAAAGTATAGTTTGGATATTGTGTTAGTCAGCTAACATTGTAATTTAAATACCTGAGATAATTAACTTATAAAGAGAAAAGATTTATTTTTGTCTCATGGTTGTGGAGGTTCCAATTCAAAAATCAGCAGACTTATTGTTTTACCTCTGTACGTGCTTTAGATGGGGTGCTGAACGTTAGGGAGCATGTGGTAGTGCAAATTGCTCACCTGCATAAGCCAGGAGGGAGAGAAGAAGGGACTAGGGTCCCTCGTCCCCTTTGAGGACATGCCACCAGTAATCCACAAGGCCCTGACTATTAAAAGTTCCACAACCTACCAATAGTGCAACCCTGGGGACCAAGCCTTTTAATATACTTTGGGGGACAGTCATTCTCCAAACTATAGAAGATATGTTGGTTAATATTTTCCTTTGCATTAAGATAGTTTTGCTGAGGGTGTAGTTCAGTGTAGAACACTTGTGTAGCATGCATAAAAGGCCCTGGGTTCACTGGTGCTATAAACATCAGAACATAAAAATAGAGAAAACAGCCCAGTGCCCATGACACACACCTGTAATCCTAGCTAGATCCTAGGATCTCATTTCCAAGCCAGCCCTGGGCAAATAGTTTGCAAGACCCTATCTTGAAAACACCCAACGCAGAACAGTGCTGGCGGAGTGGCTTAAGTGGTAGCGGCATCTGCCTAGCAAGTGTGAGGCCCTGAGTTCAATGCCCAGTATTGCCCCCCACCAAAAAAAAGGGAAAAGAATATGTCATAATTTCATTTGTTCATCCATGATGTAAACAACCTGTTTTTGTATACTTGGAGAAAATGGCTGTAATTTTTCCTTTGTTTTTGCAGTTCACAATGTTATTAAAGATAGAACACACACTTCATATTTAATTTATTGTTAACCTATCTTAGCTTTTTCTGCTAGTTAAAATTAAACAATTCTTAGTTTGTTTTGTGTGTGTTGTCATTTATCTGTCTTAATGTAGCTTTCTCTGCTACTTAAACAATTCTTAGTTAAATACTGTTTGTGGGGAATTTGTTTTTCTATCCTACTTCATTGTGGAGTAATTGAGATTCAGAAGTTTAAGCCAGCACTACCATATTGCCCCATTTTTTCAGCCTTGGTGACACTGTAAGGAAAACTTTAAGTACACTTATCTTTTCCTCTCTTCTTTCCATTCTTAAGTTATTTAGGATAAGACAATTTTGGGAAATAGGAAGAGAAAGTAGTTTGCACAGTGTTTTTGTGTTCATACAAATACCTTATTCTTAAGTTTCTTTTGAATTTTAGAATAGGAAAACATTTTCATAGAAAATACATAACATCAGTTGGGGAAGTAAAATGTTATAGTTTGCTTATTCCTTACATAACTGAAATGTAACAACAAGTTAAAAACATTCTGGGATCTAAAATTTTTTAAAAACCCTTTGTCTTTGGATTGCCAGTCAAGATTGACAAACTTTTGTCTTTCCTTTGTTGCCAACCAAGACACTCTATAAAAATTACTTTCTTGGGAATTTTGAAATTCAAATCATTTACAGCCCAGCACACATAAGACTGTGGCTTTTTAATTTCCGTTACAGCTTGGGGCCTACAGGGCCTTGACATTTTCTCTCTGTTTTTGTCTGTTTTTTTAAATTGATGTTTGGTTGGGTGCCATGGCCCATGTCTATAATCCCAGGTACTTGGGAGGCAGGGGCTAGGAAAATCAATGTTTGAGGCCAGCCCAGGACAGAAGTTAACGAGACTCCCATCTCAGTCAACAGCTGGACGTGGTGGCATGCACCTGTGATCCTAGCTACCCAAAAGGCATAGATAGGACAGTCGTGGACCCAAGGCCTGCACTGGGCAAAAAATGGGCTGAGGGTATGATTCAAGTGGTGGAGCACCTAACAAGTACAAGGCCCTGAGTGCAAACCCCAGCACCACCAAAAAAAAAAAAAAAAAACCAAAAAATAAAATGATGCTCATCACCACCTAAGATCTATGTGCTAAATCAGAGGTATAAGTAATGTACCTCATTTTAGGTAATTTTAAGAAGTTGAATCAGCTTTAAAATTTTTTCCGCCAGGTTTCATAAGTACTACTTTTCAAAACCTTTAAAATTGTTGTTAGTGAATGTTTTAACTTTTTTTGTATTTTATAGAGACTGTCCTTAAGTAATGACATATTTGAGGCAAATTCTGATAGTGATCAGCAAAGTGAAACAAAAGAAGACTTGTCCCCAAGAAAGAAAAAAAAAAAATTACGGCACAAAGAAGATAAAAGCCCAGATGATCTAAAAAAGAGAAAAGCGAAGACTGGGAAACTAAAAGACAAGTCCAGACCAGAGCTGGAGAGCTCCTCTGAAAGTTTAGTTTTTGATTTAAGGACAAAGAAAAGAATTTTGGAAGCCAAAGAAGAGGTAAAGGACTCCAAAAAGCCCAAAAAGGATGAAATAAAAGAAACTAAGGAATTAAAGAAAGTTAAAAAGGCAGATATAAGAGACTTAAAGACTAAAGTAAGAGAAGACCCCAGAGACAACAGAAAAACAAAGAAGGAGAAATGCACTGAGTCTCAGCTGGAATCTGAATCAGGTCTGCCTAATGAGCCTCCTTTTAAGGAGGAAGACAGTGAAGAGTTACATGCTGATAACAGAGAGGAGAGACAAAAAATACAAAGTGCAAAAGACAAAGCAGGGCAGGATGCAGAGGAGGATGGTGTTTTGGAGAAAGAGCTGGATGGTACTGTAAGTGCTGATGAGGATTGTGATGGCAAAGGCAAGAGGAAAAAAAAGAAACCAAGAAAGACTGAAGAAGGGAAAGAAGTCAAGAGACCAGAAAACAAGAACATCTTGTCAGAGAAGAAAAATACACCTAAAAAGCAAAGGAATCAAGACAAAGGCAGAAGTAACACAGAGTTAGATAAGCTGGTGTCACCTGTGTCTGCCCAAACCCAGAAGAGTTCCAGGTGTGCTGGGGAAGAAAGGGGCCTCAGATCTTCCGACTCAGCTGAGGAGGTAAGGGTAGTTAGGGAAACTTTTTAAGTGCACAGACATGCTCACACAATTTAGTGCTGTTAAGTGGTTTCACAAAGAATGAAAAGGAAATAACAAATTATAAAAAATTTTTTCCATCATGTGGTCAGTGGATGGTGTGACTTTTGACTGTGGGCAACTATAAGTGCTAAAGATCTTCCAGCCTTAGGCCCTTCAGCTGTTTCTTACTTTCCAGTTTACCTTTTAGATGAAATATGACTAGAAAGTAGAGAGCAAATTTGTTAAAATTGTCAGAATATTTTTAGAGATTCACAAGTGATATGTAGCATTTAATAGTTGGGCTTATGACTAGCTTATTACTAGCTTTTCATGTCCTACTTGATATTTCCTCCCGTTTTAAGGATATAACACTTTTTACTTAAAAGTACACAGTCCAATAATGTTACAAGTCTTAATTCTCGTTTAATAGAGTTTGAACCATTAGAATACAAATTTGATAGGATTTTTCAAAGTAGAAATTTCTAAGGTTATAGAAGTATTCAGATATGCAATATTTATCAAGGACTATAAAAAATCAGATTCTCTTCATTCTCAGTTTTGGGACTTTATCCTAAGGAAATCATTTAGGGGTGGCTATCTATACAAAGATACTAGGTCAGAAGTGATGACACATGCCTGTAATCCCAGCACTTAGAAGATTGTGAGTTCAAGGCCAGCCTGGGCTACATAGTGAGACCCTGTCTAAAAAAGGCAAAAAAAAGCATTTATGACAGTGTTATACTTACTAGCAAAAAAATTGATAAAAAACTGTTTAGTCATGTGGAAAATGGTAGTGTAACAACTTGGAGACTGTCTTAGCAAATTGAAATATTAATTATAAGGTCAATGTAGCAAAACCAGAAAGCTTTAGAAAATGAGAAGAAAACCTTTTTTGCTTGTGAATACAATTGTGTGAATATATACACTGTAAATAAAAATGAATTCTCTACCCAAAGTTACAAGGATGAAGGGAGAGTGCAGCAGTAAAGTAACTGTGCTTGACTAACAAAACTGGAGGAATTTTTTTTTTTGAATTTTATTTCTTGTAGCATTTTTATTAACATATATTGATGTATATAATGTAGTTGGATCATATTCAAACATTTTTTATTTTTAGTGATACTGGGATTTGAACTCAGGGCTTTGTGCTTGCTTGGCATGTGCTCTACTGCTTGAGCCACACCTCCAGCCCAAACATTGCATTTTTTAATAAAATTCCCAAAAAAGATTGGGAAAACAGGTGTTGGGCTTTGAATTTGATGTTGTGTAAGCTATCATGTGGCTCTGAAGGGTACTCTTGGTTGAGGAAGCAGTATGAAAAAAACTGAGTGATCTGCAGTCATGCTCTGTAGTAAATAGAGGCAGGCACTTTTCAAATATACAGCATCACCTCTATATTCATTGATTTTGGGTCTTAATTTACATGCACCTTTAGGAGAAAGAGACCAAAAAAAATGAACCTAAAGAAAAATATCAGAAAAGACATGAGTTGGACAAAGAAGAAAAAGGCCGAAAAGAGCCAAAAGGACTAAAGAGTAAGTCTAAATACTGACATTTTACAATATTCATTGACATCTTTTCATATAAAGAATTTATTTTACTCTGAAGATACTCTTTTCTAACCTGCAGTGTCATAGAACTGGGAAATTTTGTCCTGTGGAGAATTTAGAGCTTTATGCTATATATGTTTAACCAGGTTATTATGATTGGTCTAACTTAGTTTACTATAAAGGTTGAGTACCCTTATCTGAAATGCTTGAGAACAAAAGTATTTCAGATTTTTAATTTTTTTCTGATTTTGGGGTATTCACATGTACATGAGATATCTTGGAATAGAGCCCAAGTCTAAATTCATTTATGTTTTCTATCTACCTTATACATAGCCTGAAGTGTTTTGACTGTGACCTGTCACATGAAGTGGAATTTTCTACTTGTGGCATCATATTTGTGTTCAGAAAGTGTCAGATTTTGGAGCAGTTCATAAATGATGTTGTATTTTTGTTTAGGACACTCAATCTGTATAACAATTTATATCATGTATGCGTATATATAGTTTTTTTCTTTCTGTTCACCTTGTTCTTCCTCTTTTTCAGTATGATGATAGGTTAGAATTACAAAGATAAATTAATTTACAGTAGGATAGGAAAGGTGTCTTTGTGTAATACATTAACTATAAACTCTGTTATTTGCATAAACATTGACTCATTTGTATAAACATAGTAGTATTGAGTACACTTTTGGATCACTTCAAGATGCATAAAAATTGAGAATCTACAATATAGGTCACTACTGGAACCAAGTACTTCATTTTAAAAAACCGCCAATACAGTGTTTAAGCCCCACTAGATAAATATTTTAATTTATGTACCAAAAGTACTTGAAATGTGTGTTCTCCTTCTAGTAATGATTCTAAGAGATAAAATATTTTCCCTTAGTTTTGTCTCAAAAGCTCTGTGTAAATGAAGTACTACACACACTTCTAATACTACTTTTTTATCTACACTCTAAATTATAACTGTTTTAGTATTACTTTGTTTTTCAGTGGTATTGGGAATGGAACCTAGGGTCTTGTGCATCTCCAGCCATAAAGAACTGATTTTTGTCAGCTGGGCCTCATGTCTATAATCCTAGTTACTTGGAAGGCTGAGATTGGGAGGATCATGGTTTGAGGCCAGCCCAGGCAAATAGTTCAAGAGACTCTATCTCCAAAATAACCAGAGCAAAATGGACTGGAGGTATGGCCCAGGCAGTAGAGCACCTACTTTGCAAGTTTGAAACACGAAACCCAGTGCCATCAAAAAAAAAAAAATTTTTTTGTCCTAAGCTTAGACTGGGGCTAGGGACTAGGCAGTAATAACGGATAATTCCTAGCAGTAGTAATTAGGAAAGAGCAGTGGGTGTTTCAGTATGTTATGCCTATGTAACTTAAATGACAGAATTGGTTTATTGTAGTGCAAAAGTCCTTAACAACCATTATATTTTAAAGCATGATTAGAGATTTAAAATATTATAAAATTAGTATGTAGAAAGGATGTCCAGAATGAAAGGTGGTTCAGTTGTTCTGAGCTACTCCCCTGCAGTTGTGATAAAGGAACTACTCAAGGTGGAAGCCTTTCCTAATGCCATAGGTATCAGCCTATCTAGAGCTGCATCCTGGCACTCATGAAGAAATGTTTCCAGTCCTGAGTGGCAGAGATAGTTGGAGACAGTGCACTAGTAGAACTGCCTAATGCCACCAGCTTTGAACTGAAGTTTAAAAAGGTGAGAAGAAAAGCTAGAAGCATAGCTCAGTGGTAGAACACGTGCTAAGCATGTTCAGGGTCCTAGGTTCAATCTTCAGACGACCTTTCCCCCATCCCTCTCAAAAAATGGAAAGAAAACTTGCAAAGCACAAGACAATTAGGAAGCAGTCTATTTCGAACGTTGAGTACATAGTAGATAGGTTTTATCAGCAGGGGTACTGAAAATCAAGACTCCCAGTAAGTACCATTGTAAATGAGACAAACAGTGGTTGCGTTTAAGGCTGTACAGTGGCCTCAAAAGTGTACCTGAAATTGATGTAGAAGATACAGGAGAGGAGCTGGAGGTAGAACTCACCACTACAATGCTTATGCCCAAGGACCTGGGATCAGTCCCAGTGCTGTGTAAACTGATGAACAAAAGCTACACAGAGGAAGAAAAAGCTAACAAAGCAGATTTGAATAGTCCTTTGTCACAACTTTCTAAATGCTGAGCAGTGAAACAACTTTATGACTTTTTTTTGGCAGTACTAGGGTTTGAACTCAGGGCCTTGTGCTTGAGCCACACCTCCAGCTCAGCTTTGTGACTTTGATAGTAAATCTGATCGTGATACTAGTAAAAATTTTAAAACATTTTGTAATACTAACACAGACTTTCTTTTGATTATGACAAATTTGTGACTCATACTAAGCATCAGTTTTAATATTTGCACTAGCATTTAAGGAAATCAGAAATGCGTTTGATTTATTCAAAAAAACTGCAGAAGAAAAAAATGATCCTGAGAATAATCGGAAAAGAGAAGAAATATCATTGGATTGTAAAGCTTCAGAAGATCACAAAACAAAGGAGAACAAATGTTCACTTAAAGAAAGGAGAAATACCAGAGATGAAACTGACACTTGGGCATACATTGCTGCAGAAGGTGATCAGGAGGCTTTGGACAATGTATGTCAAATGGATGAGAATTTGGGTGAGTTTGTTTGATGTTGTTTGGCAGAATGACTTGAGGGTAGTGCACCATGTTGTTACTCTTCTCTCCCACTGCAGTTCAGATCTCACGTTAAGAAAATAATGTAGAAGATTTTATATGAATCTCCTGAATAAATTTTATATTTAAAACTTAAGTCATGCTTTGACTTTTAAAGGCATCAAATACTTTCTAGAGTTTGATGGTATGTCTTTTAGAAAATGGTCATATACAGACTTAGTTAGAATCTTCCTTTTAACTTTGCAGTAAATAACAAATACAAGTAAGGTTATATTGTAAATACTAATCTGGGCTGTTGAAATTGGCTGGGAAATGGAGGGCCTTATATAAGCCACTGAGTATAAAAGCTGTGGAGAGGATAATAAAAGCTGTATGTATGTAACTAGAACAGGATAAACAAGATTGATCTGATGAAACTGTAGTTTGTGGATCTTGAGAAGTAGATGAGAGTTTTTCCAGTAGTTCAGAATATACAACACTAGATATTCTCGGAGACCCTAGAAAGTTAAGTAAAGCATGCTTTTGAAGCATTGCCAAGCTTCCATGAAGGACATTGGGATCATTTCCAGGACCACAGGAAACTAAGGAGGAAGTTGGCTTCCTTGAGGGCAGATGGCAGTGGATACCAAGCAATAAAGAGCAGGTGTAGGGAGCATCTTTTTTTTTGCTGTACTGAGGCTTGAGCTCAGCACCTACACCTTGAGCCATTCCACCAGCCCTTTTTTTGTGATTGGTGTTTTCAAGATAGGGTCTTGCAAACTATTTTGCTGGGCTGGCTTCAAACCACGACCCTCCTGATCTCTGCCTCCTGAGTCACTAGAATTACAGGCGTGAGCCACCAGTGCCTGGCTGTAGGGAACATCTTAAAACCAGAAGCTGCTTCCTTGAAAAGATTAATAAAATAGATAGCCTCTGACACAGTTTTTTGTTTTGTTTGGTTTGGTTTTTTTTTTGTGGGGCAGGGAGGGTAGAATAAAGGCTTAAACAATACTCCAAGTGAAAAAGACAGTTATAGATTATGTACAAATTAAGACGATAAAAGAGTCGGGCACTGGTGGCTCACTACTATAATCCTAGCTACTGAGAGGCTGACATTGGGAGGATCATAGGTTGAGGCTACCCAGTCAAATTTGGAGACCCCCATTTCCAAAATAACCAGAGCAAAATGGAGTGGAGGTGTGCTCAAGCGGTTGAGTGCCTGCATTGTAAATACTAAGTCCTGTCCTACCAAATAAGTGAGTAAATAAAAGCAAAAAGAAAAGAGTTCTGTGAACAGTTTCGTATTGATAGATGGGAAAGCTGAATGTAATGGCAAAATTCCTGGAAAAACAAAACTGGCCCAAGAAAAAATAGACTAAATAGTCTTATAAATATTAAGCAATACGAAAAAGTCCTTAAAATAGCGTCACAGATTCAACACCATGCCCAGATGTTTTTATATGCTAGAGTTACCAAACTGATAGAAGTCTTTCTTTTAAACAAAAATTGTGGTGTGGTGTAGTGCTCACTTGTTTGTAATCCCATCACTGGGGCCTGAGGCAGCAGGATCGCTAGTTTGAAACCAGCCTGGACTAAATAGTGAGTTACTACAGCAGGGGTCTCTCTTGGGGAGAGAAAAAAGTTTTCTTAAAAATACACAATACTGTACTTATCTGGCAGGGGAGATACCATGATCACGAAGGTGGTTTTCCCAGGGCTAGGCATATCCATTGCACTCCAGATGTGCTGACCCCTGCGATTTCCCCAAATGTGGGAAACTCGACTGCATAATTTGTGGTAGTGGGAGACTGCATTCGCACTCTCCCCTTAACAAAAAAAAAAACAAAAACACAATACTAACTCATTCTGTGAGACCAGTATGACTTTAACCAGGCAAAGACTGTGTGAGAAAGGAAAAGACAGGCCAGGTTCAGATGTGAAAATTTTAAACAGAACATGAACAAATTGAATCTAGTCTTACTTAAAAAACTAAATCTCAGCTGGGCTCTGGTTGGTCATGCCTATAATCCTAGCTACTCAGGAAGAAGAGTTCAGGAGGATGGAGTTTGGAGTCAGCCTAGGCAAATAGTGCACAAGACCCTATCTTGAAAATACCCTGCAGAGAAAAGGGCTGGCGGAGTGGCTGAGGCAGTAGAGGACCTGCCTGGCAAGTATGAGGCCCTGAGTTCAAACCCTAGTATCCCCTTCCCCCCAAAAAAGAAAAAAACCTAAATCTCTTATGACCAGTTGGGTTTCCCCTGGGATTTGTAAAGAAATAGATTTAATAGGTTTTTATTTTTATTTATTTATTTATTTAGAGGCGGGATCTGTATGGCCCAGACTGGTCTTGAACTTGTGATGTGATTCATGATCATCCTGCCTTAGCCTCCTGAGTGTTGGGATTACAGGCTTGTGCCACCAGACTCAGCTTTAATGGATTTTGTGATTTAAAAAAAAAAAAAAGCCTAGACAACAGTTTTAAAAAAAAAAAGGAGCTTTCTCAATTGATAAGCCAAATGTCTTTGTTAATGGTGAAACATTACAGGTATGTGTCTTAAATCAGAACTAGTACAAGGAGAAGCTGTTAGCACCGTCTTTGAACATTATACTAAGGGTTACCTAGGATATTAACATAACAAAATGAAGGCATAAGCATTGGAAAGGAAAGAAGGATTAAAAAAAACACTGTGATAATCAGATGATATGATCTCTGTAGAAAACCCAAAAGAATCTAGAAATTACTAGATACTACAGTTATAGCAGGGTGAATGGATATAAAACCAATGTACAAAAATCAATATATTTTTATATATCTTCAGTGCACATATCCATGTACATTTCTGCTTGATAAATGGACTTTTAAAAGATAACTTTTGGGCTGTGGAGTGGCTCGAGTGGTAGAGTGGCTGCTTAGCAAGTGTGGGGTCCTGAATTCATATCCCAGTGCAGGGATGGGTGGAGAACTTTTTAATAGCAGCATATTTAGAAGACAATAATAATTTTTTATGGTACTGGGGTTTGAACTCAGGACCTTGTGCACCACCCAAAAACACTTCTTGAAAGTCACTAAAATCTTCTCTTGCCTGGCATGGGAAAGGCCCTGGGTTCCATCCCCAGCAGTGAAAGAGAAAAATAAAGGAATTTTTCATGGAATTTACAAATACTAATTCTAAAATGTATGTGGAAGACTCAAAGGCAAATCCATTTATCCCAGAAGTAATGAAAACCCTTTGTATAAAACTAGCAACAGATACAGTATTTACTCGGCACTAGAAAGGTTGATTAATTAGCAGAGCAGACTAGAGACCTCAGATCTGACCATGGGATAGAGTCCAGGTGACACAGATTCATGTGATAAGGATAAGCTCAAATCCTGATGGAGTCACAGCTGTAACTACACGGAGGGCATTTGAATATTAGGCATTTATCTTTGTGAACTTGGGGTAGGGAAAGATTGCTTACACAAAACAAAACCACATAAACATAAAAGAAGTGTCAGTTTTGGGGGCAGAGGGGAGAAATGAACCAAGCCTTGTATGCACATATGAATAATAAAAGAAAAATGAAAAAAAAAAGTGTCAGTTTGATTATATACACTAACCGTTTTGTTAGTTATGTCATTAAAATCTTACTTTTGACATGCTGAGAAGGTCCTATTGATAAACAGTATCTTAAGAAATTGGAGAACCAGTCACAAAGGTGATAAAGCATCTGTTAACTACTGCTCTGTGCTCTGCTGATAAATATTTCTTCAAAATGTATAAATAAGGGACTAGGGGAATGGTTCATGTAGTATAGTGCCTGCCTAGTAAGTATGAGTCCCTGAGTTCAAACCCCAGTACCACCCAATAAATAAAAGATCAATAACAACAAAGCTAAAGTCACAACTTGAGCATGCCAAGTCATGGTTTTCATACCTAATTCACTGTGTTAGGTATTGGTAAAGGGAATATGGTATTAGAGAGCTAGCACATTAACCACACTCTGCATCTAAGGAGTAATTTATCTTCAGTAAATTATAATTTATTTTAAAAAATAGTAAGTAGGTCTTTTGGATTACTCTTAAGTGAGCTGTGCAGAGACCTCATTGATGTGTTGCAGTGGTAGTGAAGGTGGACATGTCTGTCTCAGTGTTATTGAGCCCATGGCCCACCAGAAAAGGAGGAGACCAGCAGTGCTTTATGTTGGGAGGTTAGGCATTGTGAGAGCAGGGAGTTTCCAGCAGGAAAGGATTAAGCTATGTCTAGAAGGATCCACAATGATTTGTCTACATGTAAGTCTAGTTTATACATCTAGACACACAACAAAAAAGCCCGTTGGAATTATTCATGGTTCTTTGGAGCTGCTGGACTTTATATTTCATGATTTTACAATTTTAGGTACCTATTTATGCCTTTATCAATTAGAGAAAAGACTCAATTATATAATCGATATTAAAAGTGAACATAAGTCTTGATTAGAAGCACAACTTTAGTAAACAGTATTGTGGTTTTCATAATACTCCGTGTGCATGTATCCTAACAAAGCTCTGTGCTCTCCAGATGGTAGGCAACAGATCTTGAGTTTGGGCATGGACCTGCAGCTGGAGTGGATGAAATTAGAGGATTTTCAAAGGCACCTTGATGGGGAAGATGAAGCTTTTGTCACAGCAAATGTCATTTCAAGTAGTGAGTGATTTTGGAATTAACTCAAGTCCCTTTCACAAATCTAGATATATGAAACCTAATTCACCTTTCCATTCATTGTAGATTTGTTGAGGGACGCTGTGAAAAATGGAGATTATATTACTGTAAAGGTTGCACTTAATTCAAATGAAGACTATAACTTGGACCAAGAGGTAATATGCCTTTGACTAGTCTTATAAAAGGAACATGAAGGGCTGGCAGAGTGACTCAAGTGTTAGAGTACCTGCCTACCACTCTTTTGACATAATGTGGCATTTCAGTTCTTAGTAACAAAAGGAATGCACATTCATTCTGTAAGATTCAAATATTATACAGCTGTATTTGCTCCCCCAAATGACCATGAATTGTGATTGATGTGTGTCTGTGGCTTGCCCTCAGCAGTGTGGGGTGTAAAGGACTCATTTTCATGTGGCTGTTGTATATCTCTGGTGGTGGCTCATGTATAGCAGTTATCCCATTGTTGGCAGGGGGTTTTTCATACTGGTATTCATTGGGTTTTTTTTTAATATAGAGCATATTAGCCTTTTCTTTCTAGTTTTTAGGTTTTATGCTTTCAGTCTTGTATTGATTTGAGAATTTTTACTTTAGATAGGCACAACTGTTGATGCATTTCATTTATGGTTTTTGAGTGTGTTGTCTTTCTTAGAAAAGAGTTTTCTATCTTTGCTTTCTTGTTTTAGTTGTGTGTTTCAAAAGATTAATTCATTGGGATTACAGTTTAGGAAACGTTGAAATTTTGATTAAAATTGCATGAAACACAATAGATCAATTTGGCTAAAAACTGACATTTACATCTTGAGTCTTCCATCATAAACACAGTAATTTTGTACATTTAGCTCTTCATGTGTATACTTAAGCAAAGTTCCAGGAATCTTTTTCCTCATATAGGTCTCACACATTTCTTTTAGATGTATTCCTACATGTTTTATATCTTTGTTTTCTTAACCATGGCCATTTCTTTACTCACATTTGTCTTCCAACTGGTTGTTGGTAGTAGATGACAAAGCTGTTTGTGTTTGTGTGTGGTGTGTGTGTGTGTGTGTGTGTGTCTATGTTGTGTTCAGTTGCTTAATGAAATTCTTGTTCTGATGAATTTTAAATTACTTGCTTTGGATATTCTAGGTAGAAGATTTGATCATCTTCCACAAAATAATTGTTTTTATGTCTTGCAAATTGTTGATGTGCTTTTAGAATTTAATGTCAGAAAATTATAAAATTTTATGGTAACATTTATTTGTGAAAAAAGAATTAATAACAGTATTAGTCCCTGACTATAGATTCTTATATTAGTGCACGTTAGTGATTTCACATTGAATTATCTTGGCTGAAGAGACTTGGTTCTAAAATTGTTCTGATTAAAGACTCATAAGCTTTTTCACTAATAAACCAACACAGGATTCTAGTGGGATGACGCTGGTGATGCTCGCTGCAGCAGGAGGGCAGGACGACCTCCTGAGACTCCTCCTCACCAAAGGTGCGAAAGTGAATGGGCAGCAAAAGAATGGGACCACAGCTCTCATCCATGCCGCCGAGAAGGTCTGAGACTTCACTGCGTGAGGGAACTCAGTGTTTCTGTGGTGAAATACAGTGGTCACTTTGAGGTTTCAGTTGGTCTGTGTCATGTTATAAGTGGATTTTGTTATCATTAGTAGTACTGATTTTCAAAACGTGACCTATCTAGTTGGGAATAGTTTACATGACCTCTATATATCAGTATTGGTTACACGCTTCGATAATTTAAAAATCTTTTCCAACTGAACTTAGTTGTGTTTTTGATTAATGATCTAATTAGAAGGGTCCCACATACTACTTTTTTAAGGATTTACATGCAGAAGCATGTAGGTGGCACGTGCTGGTAGAGCCACACTTGACTGTGCCAGGTGAAGAGACAGGAAGATGGTGGCCTGTCACCCACTTGGTATAGAACCTGCTGAGTCTTTTTTCCTGATGACTTGAAATTGCAAAACACCTAAAAATGTCTTTTAAAGATTTCTGGGGATTAAATTTGTTTTGTTTTGTTTTTTTTAATAGAATTTTTTAACCACGGTGGCTATTCTTTTGGAGGCAGGAGCTTTTGTAAACGTTCAGCAGACCAATGGAGAGACTGCACTTATGAAGGTAAGCCCTCTTGGCAGGTGCTCATGGCAGGTGTTTATCTGGATGCCTCCCAGGGCCAGACCCCATGCTTCTACACAGCTCTGGGACTCCAGCAGCTCACAGATGAGTAGAAGTAGATCAGCAAAATGGCAGTTAACGTGAGGTGGGTCAGTGATGTATTGGAATGAGCACAAGGAAGGGCCTCTGAGCTCTGCCTGTGAACCCAGGACAAGACTTGGGGTAGATGTGTTAGGTGCCACACTGTGTCCTGAAAGAACATGCAAGTGACCAAGAGGAGCGTGTCAGCAGGAAGTGGAACAAGATAGTACTGCAGTTTGTTGTGGAAAAACTATGGTTTCAGTATATGAGAACTGTCCTGCCAGGTGGAAGGTGTTGAAGAAAGAGGCAGACAGGTGGAGGATTGCACAAAGCGTGATTTATTGGGTATTTATAGGCAGACACGTGTCTCAGGTGACAGCAAGAGAGGTGGATTCCCACACTCCAAGGGAAGAAGAGAGGTTCATATATTGAGTAGACAGAGGTGGCCCATGGCCAACCAGAATATCTGGCCATTGTCAAAAATATTAATGTGTCCGGAGGCAGTTAAGAAAGTCCAGTACAGTGGCTGGCACTACATGCTGTTTACTGCCTTAACGACTTTGTTCCATAAGCCTTAGCATCTTTGCTAGTATGTGACCTAGCAGACACAGGTGGCAGTTATATCCAAGGTGGCTGAGTCCTATGAAGGGGGAGCCCTGCATCAGTCCTTGTAGGTTCAGAGGCCTGGGAGTCGGAAAGCACCATGTGCTTGCAATGGTCATTGTCACTTTATATTGGTAATTGGTTTCCTTCAGAATTGTGGCTTGCAGATACGGCTCCAGGTGAAGGCTGTTAAGGCCTTCTGCTACCCGAAGCACCCAGTGAGTACCGCCCTTGTGTAGTAGGTTGCATCTTGTGCCCTAGCCCAGAGTAGCTCATTCCTCTGTGGCAGTCCCAGGTTCCTGACCCAAAATGCTGTAGGTCCAGGCACTGAGTCTCTTTCCTGAGTTGCAGCTTCGCAGAACCCATCTTCCAAGCTGGGATTTGTCTGTAGCACCTTGTTCCAGTGTCTGTCACATAGGAGCATTGAGGTCCCTGGTTCTGCAGTGGGCCTGATGCTGCCTTGGTTTGAACCCCACTATTCTGAGGATGGGATTCCCTTCCTGTCCTGGCCTCTGGCTATACTTGGAGTATAGGCCTTGCTCACTGTTTTGTACTTTTGTTTTTCCATTTTTGGTTCATTTTGTTCAGGAGCCTGAACGTTGGGTCTTTATTGTCTATTATTGCCATACATATAGAGCACAGGCAGCGTCTCAGACCACTGTCTTGGTAAGAAACCACTGGATGCATCTGAACAGCAGGTGCTTGAACACCTCAGGAAAAGGTGGTGTGGGTGGGCACCAGCATGATAGGGGCTGGGAATGCATCCTGAAGGCATTTGGGAGCCCGTGAGAGATCCAGATTTTTGTATGTGTACTGCCAAAGCAAGCATGTGAGATCCAGATTAAAGGGATGCTTTAACATTCTGTAGTGCAATAGAGAGGATGTGTTCAGGAAAGACAAGCAGTTTGCAGACTTGTAGGGAGATTCCTGAAATTAATGGAAATGATAGTAGTCCGTATCTAAGTAGTAACTTAAAGTGAGTAGTTCGGTAGTTCACCAGCTTTGTGTGTGTGTGTGTGGCACTAGGGTTTGAACTCGGGGCCTACACCTTGAGCCATTCCACTAGCTCTTTGTGTGTGTGTGTTGTGTGTGTGTGTGTGTGTGTGTGTGTGTGTGTGAGAGAGAGAGAGAGAGAGAGAGAGAAAGGTATTTTCGAGATAAGAGTCTCGTGAATTATGTGCCCAGGCTGTCTTTGAACCATGATCCTCCTGATCTCTGCCTCCTGAGTAGCTAGGATTACAGCTTTGAGCCACTACTACCCAGCTTCACCAGCCTTTTAATAGGTAGAATCCACAGAACATGGAACAGAAGGCAATGCCTGGTTCTCCTAAATTAGGGAGCATGGGCAGTGTAGATGTAGGGAGAAGCTGGGCATCAGGCTCTCAGAAGGCATTGTCATCGAGGCATTGCTCAAGAGAGATGTGCGCTGCACACTGATTGGAGAGTCATGAGTCTTAAGTGACAGCAGCAACAGCCAATGGTGGAGGTGAGGTCACCTACTCAGATGTAGAAACATGAAAAAGGCCAGAAACTGGAGAAGGCTGAGCAGGAAAGTAGGAAAGAGGAGAGTCTGGAGAGAATGGAGAAGGTGTCAGGACAGCAGCAGAAAAGCACGCTGGGGCAGTGAGTGCCTTGACCGGGAGGCATAGTGTGTCTGTAATGCTGTGCAGTTGTAAACCATCTGCTGAGTACTGGTTCCAGGTTTTCTCACCATTTCTCCATCACACTTTCCCCTCTTTACAAAGAAGTTCCAGGTACATGTGGAGAAAGGAACCTGATGCCAACTGGTAGTTGTTATTGCTCATAGTTGAAAGATTGTCACCACTCTTTTTCTGACCTAGGCCTGTAAAAGAGGAAACTCAGACATTGTACGTCTTGTGATTGAATGTGGAGCTGATTGCAACATTTTGTCAAAGCACCAAAATAGTGCACTGTATTTTGCAAAGCAGTGTAACAACATACTAGTGTACGACTTGCTGAAGAGCCATTTAGAGACGTAAGTGCAAAGTGAATGTGCCACAGTTAAGACACAAAGTATGGTATCTCTGTTAAGTTGGACACATAATTGGAATGGCCAATTATGTCACACTTCTGAGAAGTGTGACTTCTCAGAAAAAAAAACAAAATGTAGCCTGGTGGGTTTCTGTTCCCAGTAGATTTTATAAGTGACCTCTGAATTATTTTTATGCAAGTTATTGAAGTCTTAGAAAATTTCAAACAACACTGGAGTATCTCCTTAAGTGTTGAGTATTCCTGTAATTTTGCTGACATTTTCTTAAAATCATTTGAACTTTTTTTTTTAATAGACTTTTTTTTTTTTTTTTTGCGGCAGTACTGGGGCTTGAACTCAGGGCTTCCACTTTGAACCACTCCATCAGCCCTTTTTTAGTGATGGGTCTTTTTGAGATTGGGTCTCACACATTGTTTGCCTGGACTGGCTTCGAGCCTCTATCCTCCTGATTTCTGCCTCCTGAGTCACGAGCCACGGGCACCTGGCAAAAATTATGTTTTTAGAGCAGTTTCAGGTTCACAGCAAAATTGAGTGGAAAATAGTTTCCACTCACAGCTTTCCCCACTGTCAACATTCCCACCACAGTAGCACATTTGTTAAACACTCCATGAACCCTCATCAACACATCACATCATTATTACCCAGAGTCTCACGTTTACCTTAGGGTTCAGTCTTGGTGTTGTACATTCAACCTGAACAAATATGTAATGATGTGTATCCACCATTGCATTATTTTACAGAATAGTCTCATACCCTAACAATCCTGTTTTCCACCTCTTCATCTCTTCCTATCTCATCGCTGACAAGCACTGATTTTTTAGTTTCTCCCTAGTGTGTCCTTTCCATGGTATTTGGAATCATACATTATCTGGCCCTTTTAGATTGGCTTCTTAGCAACAGGCATGCAGGTTCCTTCCTTGTCTTTTCATAGCTTGATGGCTCATTTCTTTGTAGCATATTAATTGTATGATCTGTATCACAGTTTTGTTTTTTTGTTTTGTTTTTGTGGGACTGGGCTTTGAACTCAGGGTTTCAAGCTTGCCAAATAGGCACTCTGGCATCTGAGCCATACCTCCAGTCTTCAAGTTCATTCTTTTTCAAATGAATTCTAAATCATATTTTACTGCAAGTTCATACTTTATAACACCAGTGTCTTTTTATTTGTAGTGGCCTGGGGTTGTAGTTCAATAGTAGAATGCTTGCCTAGCATGTGCGAGACCTTGTGTTCCAATCCCAGTACCACAGAAAAGACAATCAAAACAATTGTTTTGGCAGTACCTGTCAGAAATGCTACAGGAGCATCAATCTGTAGATGGTGCATGCTTATTTCTCAGGCCAGTGTTGGGTGGCGAGCAGCCTGGGATGAGCTGGACACTCTTCTTGCTTCCTGCTTCTACCACACTAGGACACCACTTGGCTTTGAGCCTGCAAGATGGTTTTACAGTTCCAGGCAGAAGATCCACATTCTAAGCAAAAATAAGGTAAATTTTCACCAGAGACCAGAGGCCAGGCAGGATCTGCTTTCCTGACAGCCTGTGCTGGGCCCATCTCACAAAAGAATCCCAGGAAGCCAACATCTCTTTCTTTACTTTAGGGTAGTTACAAAAAGCCAGCCAGTGGAGCATCCAGCTGTCCTCTTTGCGCAGGACTGAGGGGCTCTCATTTGTATTATTCATTAGACAAAACACATATTAAGCACAGTCTTTGTCACGAGAACAACTAGGGTATGGCTCAAGTGATAGAGCACTTGCCTAGCAAGCTCCAGGTCCCAAGTTCAATCCCCAGTATTGCATTGAAATAAAATAAAGACCAGAAATGTGGAGATAACCGTGGGCAAAAGACTTAATCTTTGTGCAACTTCCCGGTGGTGTACACTTGAAATCCCAGTACTTAGGAGGCTGAGGCAGGAGAATTGAGTTCAAGACCAGCATTGACTACATAGTGAAACCTTGTCTTGGGAGAGTGGGGAGAAAATGAATGGTGAGATAAATGACAGCCATAGCATAGGGAGAGGAAAAGAGCAGAGAAGTGAGGTGAGGGCAGAACTGCAGTTCTTTTTCAGAAAGGACAGTGTAGGCAGGCCTCACTAGCATTGGACAGTGGACAGTGTGATGCTCTTTTCTACATTAATGTATATAATTTTTTTTTTCTTTTTGGCAGTACTGGGGTTTGAACTCAATGCCTTACACTTGCTAGGGTATTGAACCACACCTAAAATTTAAATTTTATGGGATAGAGTATCTTAATCTAATATATGTATACCATGTGTAATGATGAATTCAGGGTAGTTAACATTTTCCTCAAACATTTTCTGTTTTTTAATATGTAATATTATACTTATTAATGTGGTAGAGTGTGATACTTTAGTACATCAACATTAATGTGATGGTCTTCTGGTCTTCTGTTAATAGGCTTTCCAGAGTGGCAGAAGAAACCATCAGGGATTACTTTGAAGCTCGCCTTGCCCTATTGGAATCTGTTTTCCCAATAGCGTGTCATCGACTCTGTGAGGGGTCGGATTTCTCAACAGATTTCAATTACAAACCACCACAGAACATACCAGAAAGTAAGCCTATGCTCACACTCAAACTTCTGTGTTTGAAGTATACTCTGTACATACTGATTTACAGATAGAACCCTTTGTTTTTGCCATTGTGAGTAATAATAGCTAACAGAGCAGCTCTGGCAGAAAGAGACCTCTCTGATACCCACCATCCCAGGTGATGCCAAAGAGCACTGTTAACCCTGTTTCAGTTGTGTGGGAATTGGGCCTTAATGTACCTGTATTATTAAAAAATAGCTTCAAGATTTTAAGCCTAGAATCTTTTTTCCCCTAAATTTTGTCATTAAAGTCTTTGCCTAAATTTTAAAGAGAAAAGTTTTTCCTCAAAATAAAGTTTACTGTACTTGCCTCTGCTTAGCAACTCCTGTGTAGATGAGGCTGTGACCATGGCCTTTCCTAGGACTCCCAACTTTGTATAGAAGGTGCAGAAAACACTGTCTCTGCCTGAAGAGAGGAAGCTGTACTTTGGCTGTTTTGTTAGAAATTTGTCCCACTTTAAAAAAATAGGTATTCATTATTGGGATATTTATTAAAGAAAATACAGTCCAAAGACTGGGTATCAGGGCACATGCAGTGATTCCAGCCTCCTGGGAATAAGTGGGATAATAGTGGTCTGAGGCTGGCTCCAGGCAAAAAAGCACTAGATTGTATCCAAAAAATATCTAAAGCAAAAGGGTTGAGCTATGGCTCAAGTAGTAGAGCACCAGCCTAGCAAGCATGAGTTCAAATCCCAGTACCACCAACAAAAAGAAAATACAGTCAAGTTATACCAATTATAGACAACCAATTGAAGCATCTTAGTGTTTAATGAAATTGGCATAAAAAAATCGTAAGTTGCATTGCTGGTGTGGGTCCTCTTGTGAACTTGCTGATTCTTGGCATGATTGGACGAAATAGGCCTACTAAGGGCTCCCCCTTCCCCCGCCCCTCATGTGTACTGTGTCTGTGTGTCTGCACCCACCAGAGATTTTTGTTGTTCATCTGAAATAAGAGATGCACTGTCATCCTCAAATGTAAGACCTGACAGGATTTCCTTGACCCCTGCTCCTCTAGTATGGTCTCACAGAGGAGCCCCAGGAGCAGGTTTGAAGATCCAGCCCTACCTTTCTCAGTGTCAGTTGTGGTTTGTAAACACATTAAAGTTTTAGATGCACCAGCTGAACATGATGTCTAGAGGTGCTTTGACTCTTAGAAGCTATAGTCATGTTTATTAATGTACACTTTTGCTGAAAAAGAAAATTATGTGAAGTAACTATTAGCAAATTGATCAAGGGTCTCTTGTGTCATTTTGCCTATGAAGCCTGAGTATTTGTCGGAGTAGAATTGACTAATGAATACACTTCCCTAAGTGAGATAAAGCTCCTTCTGTTTGGCAGAAATGGCTTTTCTTGACGGTGATTCACTGTAAGCTGCTAGTCCCCAGGTGGGTTGTTCACTGTGTTACAGTGGAGCTGAGAGAGACATACTGTTCCTACATTCGTAGCAGGTTGGCGTTTGCTCCTCAGTGCTGTAGGCAAAGTGAGCTGCCTTAGGAAGCTAAAGCACAGTCTTATTCCAGCAGCTCGAGGAAAGAGCTACCAATGCCTTGACCTAGAACAAATGGGATTTGGGGTCGTTTCTAAGGTGTCCTTTTATGGGTAACTGGCTCAGATCAACATTTCATCATGTTAAAAATGGCTGTCTAAAGACTAGGGATAGAGCTCAGTGGTAGAATACCTGCTTGCTGGTGTGTGAGGCCTTGAGAATCAACGCAAGTAAATACAAATGGTTTACCATTTTCAATCATACAGGTCATATGCCAATTCATTAAGAGTATAGGTTTTGTTAAATTTGGATATGAAGTAAAAGAATATTTTGAATATTTTAAGTTCACATTACAGGGTAACTTTTTTCCATTAAATTTTGTGTGTGTGTGGAAGAAAATGGAAAAACCACTCAAACCCACATGCAAACAACTGTCTATGGTTTTGCATTTGTGGATGTGGCACTTTTAGTAGCAACTTGTAAAAATACCACTCTTTCTTTTTTTTTCCTAACTTCAGTGTAGAACAGTCATATTTAAAAGTATTTTCCAGGAGCTAATAGTAGGGGTTAGTTGGACAAAAATGTAAGAGTTGTGTTGAGATTGCAAACCTGAGCCTTCAACACAGTGGAAAGAAGGTGTGGACTCCCATCCTATAAGCCATGCCCTTCCTCAGCCTGATGGTGGCTTGTGTATGAATGCCCTCCCTCTTCCTCCTGCAGACTCTGGTGTCCTGCTCTTCATTTTCCATGCCAACTTTTTGGGTAAAGAAGTTATTGCTCGGCTCTGTGGACCATGCAGCGTACAAGCTGTAGTTTTAAATGATAAATTCCAACTTCCTGTTTTTCTGGTAAGATTGTCTAATACTAAAAATTATAAGCAGAAGCTAAATTCTTAGGCTTAAGTAAAGTTTGATCATTCAGTACCTGATCTGGTTAAAAGATACTGGGAATGAGACAATACCCATAAAAAAAATTAACGTCTTAGTATTAAGACATTTTAAAAATTAATTACTCTAAATTAAAGTATTTCGGGTATAAGAAACATGCTGATTTAAAACAAGGCCTTTTCCCCACCATTATAATTACAAAGAAATGTTCACTTAAAGAAAATTTAGGAAATTTTCATCCAATATCAAAATACAGCAGGTAGATACAGTTGTTATATTCATGGGTCTTTTTTCTTTTGACAATACTGGGGTTTAAACTCAGCCTCAAGCTCGCCAGGCAAGCACTATATTTTGAGCCATGTCCCTAGCATTCTTTTTTTTTTTTTTTTTTTTAAGTTTTTGAGATGGCCTCACCCTAGGGTGGCCTCACCTTGATCCTCCTCTCTGTGTATTAGAATTATAGGCAAACCCAGTTACTAGGATTTTGATACATAATTCTTTTGCCATTTTCCTTGGGCTGAATTGAGCATAATTAATTGAGTAGTAATGTTTTATACTTGTGCTATTTATGGGCTAAGTACATTTTAATCTGAAAGATTTGGATAGTTTTTTTGTAATTCGTTATCATTTTAATAAAGAGAAAAGAAATTGCAGCAGACTTACATTTAAAGTCAATAAAACTTGTATATGAAGTGCGGTACACAACCTGCAATCCCAGCACTTGGGAATCTGAGGCAAGTTCCAGGACGTCCTGTATGCACTCAGACCCTGTCTCTGATGTAACAAAAAAGTTTGTATAGATTCTCTTTGATATTGTGGGTTCTGGGTGGTTCTTTTTCTTTTTTGTGGAACTAGGGTTTGAACTCAGGACTTCACACTTGCAAAGCAGGCACTTTACCGCTTGATCCACGCCTCCAGTCTGTTTTGTGGGTGGGGTCTCAGGAATTGTATTTGCTTGGACTGGTCTCAAACCTTGGTCCTCTCTATCTCTGCCTCCTAAGTTGCTAATATTATAGTTGTGAGTCACTGCCACTGTATCTGGTCATTTTCTTTCTTCTATTCTAGGATAGTCATTTTGTTTACTCATTCAGCCCTGTTGCAGGCCCCAATAAGCTCTTTATTAGGTTGACAGAAGCACCCTCAGCCAAGGTAAAAATCTTTGCTTTGTATTTAATTACTACTGAAATTGCTATTCTTTTGTCATCATTAGAAAAAGCTTCCAGAATGTCTTAAGACGTCTCTAGAAATGTCAGTGGGCCTAGGGTTGTGAGGCTGGGTGCAGTGATGTATATGGGATGAATGGTGACTGTGAGGGAGTCCTGTTCTAGGTTTTGGTACTGAATTGTTATTGTATGTTTAGGCTGACACCTCTCCATGTGAAAGGAAGCTGATGAAAGGAATCCTATCTGATATGATTAATACACTAACAATATCATAAATACTGGGAATTTTTTTAAACTGAAATACTGATAACTAATCTAAGCCGGTAACTAAAAGTTGCAAATGTTGCCAAACAAGATAGGTTCCGTTGGTCATGCTCTTCTTGCTCACAAGGGAGTTCTTGTTCTGTTCTGACACAAGTGTTTTCCTTCCCTAGGTCAAGTTGCTGATAGGGGCATACAGAGTGCAACTGCAGTAACCAAAGATTGAATGGAGCTGTTTTCAGACACATCCCTAAATATTCTTTGAAGCAGTTTGGAATTGTGGCACATCTAAAAGTTTCAAATGTAAAGTTTTATCTGTAAACCTCTTGCTGTTTAAGCCTGTCATCTGTTGTGTCTTGAGTTGGGATGTGGTGTCTCTAAGACATATAGAATCTAGATGGAAGTGTTTGTGCCAGTGTTCAGAAATCTCAGTGTTGCATCCAGACTGCATATTTCAGTTTTTCCACAATGTGGAATGGTATAGATGAGGACTGTTAAGAAAATTAAAGACGTTTAAGCTTTAAAATTTTCTACCAGATTTCACCTTGTGCATTTTTTTTTTTAATCAGGTGCAAAGCAAGGGAAGCGCACTGTACGATGTATGAAAGTCACTTCACGCTCTTGGTTGAGCTCATGTGTTTGAGGGGTGGGGTGAGAGAATGTGCACTTCCTGCTTATCCTTTCAAAAGATAACAAGGTATCTTTTGAACAAATCCCAGGACATTATGTGAACATTCTTTCCATGTGCTTTAGGGTTCATAAAGTACAAACATTAATAAATCAAGCTTAGACTGGGTTATGGAAGAGTCAAAATTTGTTGAGTTTTTAATTGTACAAAGTATTTTCTTTTTCCCATACTGACTGGACCTAGGCAAGCACTCAACCACTTGAACTACAGCCCTGCCCTTTTGTTTTTGTTGAAACTGGCTTTGAACTCACAGTCTCCCAGTTTATGCCTAAGTACTCCTAGCTACTCAGGAGGCAGAGATCAGGAAGTTGATGGTCCAAAGCCAGTCCCAGGCAAATACTAAAATGGGCTGCCAGAGTGGCTTAAGCAGTAAGAACGCCTGCCTAAAATACAGCAATGTGGTTGGACTTTGGTCACATGATAAGGGGAGAGCACACAAGGAAGGTATGAGGATAGGCAAGAAACCAAAAAAACATGATAGATTTGATGTTCTCAATGTAAAGGAACTAATGCAGAAACTGTAAAGCGACAGAGGCCAATAGGAGAAAGGGAACAGGAACCAGGGAAAAGGTCAGTTTGAGAAGAATCAACTTAGATTGTAACACATCTGTACATGGAAGCAATGGTAGGAATCTCTCTGTATAGCTATCCTTAACTAGCAAAAATGCTTTGTCCTTATTATTGTTTATACTCTCTCTTTAACAAAACTGATAAAGGGCAGAACAGTTTCTGCCTGGAAGTGAGTGGGTGGGGGGGGTAGGGAGAAGGGAGAAATGACCCAAACATTGTATGCATATATGAACAAACAAACAAAAAAATGCCTGCCTAGTAAGCATAGAGGTCCTGAGCTCAAACCTCAGTACAGCCAAAAATAAAGACTTGAATCAGCCAGAAGCCCCACTCCACCTCCAAAGCTGTTTTCTGAACAATTCTCTGATGAGGCAGCAATCTTGTTGGCTGATGATACTTAAGCATTTAAGGATGATACGTCTTTTTAAAGGCCTGAGCAGTGACTCCTGTGGAAAACAAAGCAGTTTCCAAGCAATGCTAAAAGGCAAAGCAGGGTCCTTGTACAGCTGATGGGAGCACCACAAAGGGGATGCACCACTCTGCCCATATTCACTAAAAAGCAGTCACCATACATCTTTTGACTTCAATGTCACCCCATTTCAAATGCCTCATCTCCCTTCTGTTCCTGTCCAGTGTACAGTGCAGGAAGGAAAAGAGAACTTGGGTTAATGTTATTTACTGTCTACAATAGAGACCTTATTTACCCCAGTAGCTGTGATAGCACATCACACATTCTCTCATCTGCAGTACATAGTACAGAGATCTGATGAATACTGAACAATAATGATTCCACATAAGAGGAGTTTGGTTTCATCTCAGAAGTGTCGACAACCCCGAAGTCAATCCCATCTTGGTTCTTCATTAGTAGAATATTTGATTTAGTACACTGATCAGGTTGTTCAGGTGCTATTTTTGAGTCCCATTTTATTTAACCTTGTAAGATGCGGCTACATGTTCTTCAGAATGAACACATGCCAATGCAGACTAGGTTTAGCATCCACAACAAAGGGCCAATGAAACATTTAAAAAGTGAGTTGCGTAACAGGAAACTGGGAGAAATAGACTTGAGGATTACCAAGGCACAGGACAAGAGCAGACAACAGAATACCAAAAAAGTTGATTCCCAAGCTGAAGATGTAGTTCAGTGGTAAAGTACTTAATGAGGTCCTGGGTTCAATCCCCAGTAGAGCTAGGCAAGGGGATGGGTAGAGTGGGAGTGGTGTGGGAGGAACTGGCAAAACAACAGGGTAAAGATGTTTGAAAGTTTTAACATCATACGTGCAATTGACATCGTTCATGGAATACTGTAAAAGCTCCTGAAATAATCTTAAAAATTTATTCAGACAAAACCCACTGATAGAACCCCCATGGTTTGGCTTGAATATATAATGCTCCTTATAGACCAAACCTGACCTTTCCCTCTGGGTACAGAAGAGTGTGCCTTCCAAGTCAACTGGAAACCTGCAGGAACAACGGGGCTCACGGTGTGCTTTGGGCCACATTAAGACAAAACTAGGAAATCCCTCCTTTATTCTGGTCATCTTCAGCACCTATGGGACCGCCATCTGGAATCTGAGCCTAGTACTTGGATCACTTCAATTTGGAAGAAAATCGTTACTACACAGTATCTCTGCTGTTTCCCACAGCCCTCATTATTTGCCCGCCTAAATCAAATACTACGCATTGGTAAACAAACCACCCTCTAAAGGCCAATTCCCTTCCATTAAACTAGGGCCTTACACATGTGAGGCAAGTGCTGGACCCAAGCTACCCCTCAGCCCAAGGTGAAATTTATGCCAAGATTTCAGGCTACCAGGGATGATCAGAATCCTCTGCAGGTGAGAAGATAGGCTTGTTTTGAATTTAGGGACAGCTATCATAATACATTCCAACATTAACAACCAAGATCATCACTACAACACAAAGTAAGTAACATCTGTACTTCATTTACAAAAAAAGCCTGATTAAAAATCTGAGCTATATGTATGAAAACATCACAACGAAATCCATCACTTTACACAGTTAAGGTACACTAATTTGAAAAATGAGTTTAATAAAAGGAAATTTTAACTGAAATGTGCCCCAGGGCCTATTTTAAAATGTAAAATGTTAGGATTTTACATATCCATAAACTGCTTATATGGAGAAATACATAAATAAGATGTATTTTCTGGCTTCTTACTCCTGGGTCAGTAAAAGCATTTCTCCACAGTAATCTGACCTGTGAAAGAGAAAATCTTCATCAGTAAAGAAAAGCATCCACAGAGAGAGTTTCTGTTTTGTTGAGCAGGATACCCTAGCCGGCCTATAACTCACAATCCTCCTGTCACCCGGTGCCTGCCTCTTCATTGTGGTGACGTTTCAATCCTGAAGATGAGAATTTGCTGAATTAGCATCACTGTGCAGCACATTTGAATGAACACCTGGCCTGGAAAAGTACACTCTTAAATCAGGTGGCTTTGAGTCAAAGGGCTGAAGAATTACATACGTTAACACTATAAAAGCAGTGACTGAAAATGTTCCAAGACAGTGCTGCATCATCTGCAAACTTGTTAGGAAAGAGCCCGGCAGTCTTGTTCCAGATCCTCCAGGGAATTCACTTGCATTTTCTAAGTGAGAGACTCAGGTTCAAGTGACAAACCAAGGACATTCAATGTTTTTAACAAGGTTTTTGGTTTTTCAGGCACTCAGTATGGCTTGAACTCACCCTGCCTCACAGTGGCATGCTTTAAGACTCCACAAAGGCTGCCTCAGGATCAGTGTAGCACACTTGGCCGCATGCCCAAGGCCTTGGCTTCCGCCCCCAGCCCCCACCCGAAGTGTATGTATGTGGGGGACATGAAAACAGCAGTTTCTTAATCCTGTCTTCACAAAAGTAGGCTCAGGTTCAGGGTCTGTCATATCCATTATATTAAATGTTTACATGGCATTTCAGCAACTTAACTTTCATTGACTACACATCTCCTTGAAATGAATCCATTGCTTTTCACTGACTTTTCAATACAATTTATAATATAAAGCAGTTATTAAACAATGCAAAATAAACCAATGACAAATCCCAGCAGCAGGGAGACAGAAAGATTGTGAATTCTAGGCTACATAACAAGACCCTGGCTCAACAAAATACAGTGAAAGCCACATAATCACACAGCTTTGGTGTGTGGCACAGATAGCTTACGCACATTAGATTTTCCTTATCCAAAGGATAAGGAAAGGAAGGACCTACATGTATCACAATTTCAAATTTTAATCTCAACAAGATGCCCATATAATAAACTCATTCTATGTAAGCTTATTTCAAAAGGCAGTATTAACTTCCTAGATCAGTGGTTCCTAGTAAATCCAGAATCACCTGAAGCAGGGGCTGGGAGAATGGCTCAAGCAGTAGTGCGCCTGCCTAGCAAGAGTGAGATCCCAAGTTCAAATCCCAGTACCACCAAAAAAAAAAAAAAACAACCAAAAAGAAAAACGGCTGTATCCCACCCACAGGGCACAGGGCACAGGCTTGGGGGCTGAAAACGTTCCCATAACAAGTTCCTAGACAATGGGTAATGCTGGTTAAGTGGCATTTGAGAACCAAACCCTCAAGACTACCTTTCAATTTGTGCTACATGAAGCAGGGGTCAGATACCTTAAGAAAGAAGTTTCTCAAAGACAGAATCCAGCAGTAACTTCTCAAATGATGTGATCACAGGTCTTCTGGGGTCTTGTTAAAATGGACATTCACCTGTAAATCTGCATTTCCCAGAGGTCCCAGTGACAGACAGCATGGTCACTTCTGGTCCCAAGCACCATCACTGTAGCAGCAAGAACAGGAGAGAATGTTTATCACCAGGTAAAGTGGCCAGGAAATACATTCAAAATAATAACCGCAATGAAACCCATTTGTACCACATAAACTAATAAAACAGTACTATTATTTTCTGGACCTGTAAGTATAACAGTATACTAATTAGTATTTTGTCATAAAGATTAAATATTTCAATACCATTTTAAAGTGTTGGGCATAGTAAAAGAACAGAAAATTTGTGACCCTTTCCAAAAGAGAGGGAGTCAAGAGAAATGAAGTAGTTATCCCTGGTTGGGGGGGGGGGGTCTGTGTTTATGACATACAACATTTTTAACATTACACACTTTCTGGGACTGGGACATGGCCCTGAGTTCAATCCCCAGTAGGGCAAAAACGACAAATTTTAAATTTGGGATGACTAAAAACCGAGAGAATTTTTTTCCCCTTTGTAAATAAGGCCTTTTTTGGGAGGGAAGGGCAGTACTCCAGAGTCTGAATTTATCCTCACTGGCCAGAGCTCACCCATTTAACCCATGCCCCAACCTTTTTTGGGGTGGGAGATCTTGCTAACTCTGGCTGGTCTGGCTCTGAATGATCATCTCCTAATCTCTGCCTCCCGAGAGACACAGATGTGGGTCCACAACGCCCGTCTCTTCAATATTAAGACCCTATTTCCACACTTAGGAAAGGAGGGCAATCTGAAGCTAAAATCCCTCTCCCTGCTTTAAGATTATGGCAGTGATGCTGGGGTTTCTATACAGGGTCAAGTGGTGCTGTAAAGACTGCAGCTTCATCTCTGAACTATTCTCAAGTATTCCTCTAACTCAAAACACAGTAAC